GTTAAACCCACCACAGTTCGCATTGTTCTCACCTTAGCAGTGTCTTATAATTGGCTCATTCGTCAACTTGATGTTAAAAATGCATTTCTTCATGGTCATCTCACAGAGGAGGTATACATGCGTCAACCATCGGGATTCATTCATCCACATTTTCCTAATCACATTTGTCGCTTGCGCAAGGCCATTTATGGTCTTAAGCAAGCACCCCGAGCCTGGTTTTATCGTTTCAGTAGCTTCCTTTTAACAAATGGTTTTCTTTGCAATCGAGGAAAAAGTTTGATCATTTTGCTCCTCTTTTTAGTATATATGTCGAGGCTTATGCTTTGTTTGCCTCACTAGAAAACGGTCATATACATGAACATGACTTTGGGAATTGTTCCCATGCATTGTTCCATCCCCACGTGAAAGAGCTTTGAGCTTTCATATGATGTTTTTGGTTGTCTGTACATTAATACATTATACATATATCATTTGCAAAGACTCAAATCATCTAAATCCATGCAAAATATAAGGAGGCTATGGCATTGTTTGATTGTTGAGTTTGTAATGATTCATTTACATTTCACTATGCACAATAATTCTGATCTCTCATGTCATTTACTCTAAAGTATTTTACATAGTGCAATGTAAAATTATTTAAAAATACTCCACAGTTTACATTGTAGAATTACACCAAGCTGAGTGAAATAAACTCTGTACATGTCTTTCATGAATTATTATTCACTTTTATTTATGAAAGTTTTAACTACTTACACAGTTACACCGTGCATTTTTCATTTTGGAAAATTACACATATACTTCAAATGAGATAAATATTCCTACCCTTTTTATAGGTTTTTATTGTACTAGTATTACTTTTTCATCCTCTTTATCCAAAACTTTTCATGCATATTTGGCACATTAATGGGCACTTCTACGAATTTTATTATTAAGATTTTTGAAATGCCTCTATGGCTAACCAATTAATACTATCTCATTTTTACAATTAAATTGATAGTTTGGCTTCCACGATTTTCAAAGTCGACCTTTGACTGTTAGTATGTAAGAATATATACTCATAAGATCTATAACAAATTAAAATTTAAATAATATATATTAAAATAATAATGTATTCAAATTTATTTTGATATTATAGATAAAAAACTATTTCTTCATCCGTCTCAATTTAATTTACAAACTTTGTGGTTCAAGGATTAATGAAATTTATAAATGAAGTTTGAGGATTTTACGATTTTCTTATCTAAAATAAATTTAAGGGTAAGTTTAACTTTCACTTTATTCATATTTCCATATCTAAGACAGAAAGTAGAAATCATTTTGGGACAATCATAAGTTTTCAAATTAAATTGGAACGAAGGAAGTATAAATCTTGAATAATTAACAGACAAACTTCATTTATTTAAAGCAAAATTGACATCAATAATCCATACTTTTAGGCATTTTACAAAAATAATCTCTACTGGAAAAGTTCACAACGATAATCCCAACCAGATAGTTGTTTCACAAAAATAAATCGGAAGTGAACGGTGTTAACTTTTCCGTTAGTTTTTTATTGAAATTTAAAATAAAATGAAGCAAATATATATAAAAAATTAATAATATTATGTTTTTGTTTAGTCTTATTTCTACTACAAATTTAATTTAATAATAACTATTTTTGTATAAAATATTAAAAAAATTGTACACATACTTGTATTCGTTTTAGTAATATTTAATATCGAATTACTAAAATTAATTTTAAATCTCTATTATAATGAAATAAAAATGAATATAAATAAAATATTCCGTATTGATTAGAACTAAAAGAAAAAAGAGAAATTGATGAGTATGTTTTTCAATATTTCTATTATATTTAATGAAAAGTAGTAACGACTATTAAATTTAATTTATAATAAATGTAAATATAAGGACAAATATACGAAGTATATAATATTGTTGATGCTTATACATATTTTTGCTTCATTATATTTAAAATGAACAAAAAAACTAAACGGAAAAGTTAACACCGTTAACTCTGGGTTTATTTATGTGAAAGATTTAAATAGTTCGGATTATTGTTGTGAACTTTCCTGATAGGGATTATTTTTGTAAAATGCATAAAAGTATGAATTACTTATGTCAATTTCGCCTTTATTTAACAATAAATCATCTAACTTTGAGACTTGGGAAGCGGAGAAGGGGAAAACCCTACTTGTTTCCCCTCTCCTCTTTTCTCCTCAATTTTCTTTCTTTTTCTAAAGATGAAAAAGATATCATTAATCAGTATTTCAAGTTATTTTATGTGGTTCCTTTCCAACGATACTTAGGGTTTGTGTATTCCTCATAAGTGAAACCGATCTAATGTTAAAATTTTGTTGGTGGTTATTGGCAATGCTTGTCATACTTGTTTTTTTGGGAGGTTGATTGTAGACATCGACGACTTTAGGGTCTCAATCATTCGTCCTCCTCTTGGATCACCGACATGCTGTGAGAGAGAAATAAAAGTGGATTAGATGTTTTTTGAGTGGTTGGTCAAACTGATGATATTGTCAATTTCTTCTCAAAAGTTAGTCAAATTGAGAATTCTAAAAGTTTCTTTTTGTTGGCTCAACAAACCAAAATTTATACTAGTATTAATTAATTGCTTGTCGGGGATGGTGAAATCGAATTATATATTTGTTTTCTATTGCAAAATAGGTGTAGTACTATTTTAGTCTTGTTGATTGTTAATTTAGTACCTAGAGCTTCTATGTTACGTAGTATGTTTCTTTGCGGGTTAGTGAATAGCCAAATTGTTATGTTTCTTTGATACTTTTCAATTCTATGTCACATCTCAAACGGGTTTTGTTGTTAGTAAGGATGTTTTTATTTGGACTGTAATTCGTCCTAGACCAGACCAGAACAGTTCAGACCAGACCAGACCAGACCAGACTTGGATAGTTATAAAAATACAAAGAAATCAGATCAGACCATACCAGTTCAGACCAGACCAGACCAGACCAGACCAGACCAGCAAATTACGGTCCAAGTAAAAACATCCTAAGTGTTTTCCTTTCAAACGGGTTAACAAGTGTTCTCCATATATTCAAATAAATTGTATAGGAACACTTCAAATAAAATTCACTTTAATTTATAGTTCGTTTACATATCTGCATTAAACGTAAGCAATAATTAATAATATCCGACACCAAGCGTAAATGGCGCAACTCAAAACATATTTCCCAAAAAAGTGCTTAAACATGCATGCATTGTAGTTGGGAGTACATTCTATTAGACGTTGACTACCATAAATAAATTTCATAGCTCTATCGAAGTTGTTGACCAGGCCAGGCCAGGCTGTTGACCACATTTTATTTGGACATATGGTTTTCCGTGTTTTTGAAAATGCAATAAAAAATAATAACAATTTCTGTATTGCCTGCCTTTAGCAGGACAGCGGCCACCTTTCCATCCATGCAAATGCAAATGCTAGTCGCAGCCCTACCATTTTTTAGGCCTTCCATAGTTCCATTGGTTTAAGGCTATATTTGGAAAAATGCATGTACTAGCTGGAGTTAGTAAAATGTTATTTAAACTAGCTATCTATCTGGTTTAGAGAATATATATAATATAATGTTATCTGAAATTGGATATATAAAACTTGAATCGATGAAACTAAAATGTCACACGAATGAAGTAGACTTGTTTGATCGACTGCCTGCTCGAAATACAGACTAAAATGAAGCTCTCGTTCACTATTTACTTGATCAAGTAAAATTACTCTTCTAGCTCTTTTATTTTGTATATCAAATTTTTATCATAATCAGACTAGCATATAACCCCATGAAAGTCAACTATATATGACTAGCTGATCATACGGAACTTACATTACTTTGTCACACAAAATTAATCTCATATACTTAATTCATTGCAATATATATACTCCGTATATTATTGAAATGATAATTTATTAAATATTTTATGAGTATAAATTTGTAGATATTTAAGGTCAGACTTCCACCCAAAAGTTTTGAATTGAAAATCAAATTGTAAATTTAGTTATGGGATAGGGGGATATGTGTCTTAATGCGAAAAGAAGAATATTATTGCTTTTAAAACTAGAAAAAATGACATGTATATTACTAATTGAGTTTCTCCGGACAAAAATATGACTAGTTATGTTTTCGGACAAAAATCTGGCTAGTCACTATCGTGTACTCCGTATTTTAGAATGAAAACTCACGGTAGATGACGAGTCATTGTGAACTAGTCACGGTTTAAATATGTCACTTTTTTGAAATTTTTTAAAATGAGTCATATTTTTGTCTTTTGAATTTAATTTAGTACGAGTAATATTCATGGAAGAAAGCCTTAACACTAATCCTTAAAAAAGATTTAAAATTAATAGTTAAAGATCATCAAGGGTCGGGAGAGCTTACGTCGTACAGTCGGTTGTACGGTGCTCACTGTACAATGAGTATTTTATGTTAAAAGAAATGAGTATTACTTTTAAAAGAAATGAATATTGATATTAAATCACTGTATTGGTAGCACAACTACTGTGTATTAATAAAAGCATGCAATTGAGTATCCTGATTTACACGTAACATATACTAGTATACGTGAAGAGTTGCAACTATATTATCATTGTATTATCATCAAAATATTTATTATGCTAATTTTATAATTCAATATTATTACTCATTTCTTTTAAATATTATGCTCATTTCTTTTAACATAATATGCCTGTTTGTACAGTGAGCAGTGTATGATCGGTTGTACGATATAATTTGCCAAAGGACCGATCAATGTTGAGGTAGGTAAGTTTATCTCATACATGTACGTATTGTCCTATCCTATAATTTGACACACAACTCACAAGTAATTCGAAAGGAAGGTAATGGCAATATTGGAAGAACAGAAAAAACGAATACATAAATACGAAGTATACTACGTATAATATCTCCTTGGGCATTTAAAAGCTAGCTCAAGCAGCTAGCTAGGTCTATTAGGGTATTTGACTATTTGTGGTCTTCACACATATTTGGCAACCTGAAACCACAAGAAAGAAGAAGCTGAATTGAAGATGGAAGATCGCCCACAACCACCGCAAGCCAACCCCTCCGCCACTTCTCCGTCATCATCATCCCTCAACTATAACAGGCGGCCGGAAACTGGTGAAGAAGATAGTAATAGTGAACCGGCGGTGGTTAGATCAAGGTGGAACCCTAAACCGGAGCAAATCCTTATCCTGGAATCCATCTTCAACAGCGGCATGGTCAACCCTCCCAGGGAAGAAACCATCAAGATTCGAAAACTCCTCGAGAAATTCGGCTCTGTCGGGGATGCCAACGTCTTCTATTGGTTCCAGAATCGCCGCTCCAGGTCACGCCGCCGCCAACGACAGCTTCTTGCTGAGCAAGGTCATGCAAGCGGCGGCGGCGGCATGGCTGATTATACCGGAACCGGCGGTTGTGGCACTAGCAGCGGCAACTACGTTTTGCAGTCACCGCCATCTTCAAGTACTAGTAAAATAACACTCCCTCTATTCCAATTTTTCTTAGACACAAATTAAAATATTCTCACTACAATTTTAAACCTAGTGATAGCGATAAAAATTTAATGAAAGTGATAATATTAATAATAATTCCATGATTTCAAATATCTTCCCTAATCTTCTCGGATCTAAAGCATAAAAATAATTTTTTCTTGACAATTTTCTAATTACGCCTCAAATAATTATAGATTAGGACAACGATATTTAGGGCCGATCATTGCATGGCCTCAAAATTTTAATTTCGGCTCCAAAAAATATGTAAACCTCACATGAGATATACAAGATCTTAAAATACTTTCTCTCCCTTGAAGCTTTATGATCTTTGAGTGTTTTGGTTAATCATCTTCAACTTTTTTCAATTATATTTTTATAAGAAATTACATTTAAAATAAAAATCATATGAAAACGTTTTTGTTAAAACTACTTTCATGAAAACATAAAATCTACAATTTCTACAATATTAGTAGTAATTAAAATAATGGTCCAAATTTGACCATCATTGACTTGAAAAGTCAAAGATGATAAAGTTTTAAGTGACAAATGTAGCAATTCATTAGCACAACGATATCCGCCTCGAGCTTCTAAGTTTTTTCTAACGTTTGTTTTGCAGGTTTTTTCGAGCTAAATCGGCCAATGGGATCTTCTTCTTCTCCTTTCCATGGGGGCGTTGACGACGAGATGTTGGGTTTTCCGTCGGGTGAAACGATGACGAGTATTCAATATGATCCGGCGGCCGGAATTGAGCAGAGCTATCCGGTGAGCCCATCAGTTATGTGTCCCTCTTTCTCGCCGCCACATGATGCTTCTCATATGCCCTACCAACCTGCTGGTATGTACGTTAATTACATTTGTAAGTTGCTAGCTTATTTATAAGCATGTTTAAATTTTCTTATATAGAGAGAGATGAAGTAATTGAAGAAGAAAGTAAAGTATATACTTCGTCCATCAAATGTTCAATGAAAAAATAAGATAAACTAATTAATAGCTTTAATCTCAATATTAATTAATTATTAAGGCATAATTACTAGTTGAATGTCAATGAGTTACCTTTGAATTTTTTTCTTCTTTAATTAGTTTTTCACATCTTGTTATATTCCCTTAATATTTTTCTACTATTTCATCGCATGTTAAATTGATAAAAATGGTCTAAAGTATTCTCAAAAGTCAAAGTAATTTTTTTGTGACTACACCTTCAAAGAAAATTTGCTGGTGAATAGCAGACAGTAATAACGCAAGCACAATCGATCCATGTCTTCTCGTGAAGTAAGCATAATAGAAGATGGAAGATCTCCAAATATTCAAAGCTCAAGTAATTAATTGATTTCTAAAATGTTTTTTTTTTCAAAAAAAATATTGAAATGAAACCTATTTACAAAAATATGACTAAAGTTACTATGACTGGATAATCTTATCGTCACTTAAGTGTAAAATTTTAACATAATTAAGTTACTATGACTAGAGTTATGATGTTTTTAATTGGACTGGTTTCAATCCTATATCAGATCAAACAAGATAAGACTTTGACATTTGTAGAGTACACAAAAATTCCACATTTATCAGACTAGACTAAACCAGATCAAATTTAAACAGACTAAACCCATTAAAAATAACCTTACTTTTTAATCATAAATTTATAATTATAATTATTTTTTATAAGACACATGCATGCTTGATACTCCCATATTAATTACGGAGTATGAACTTTATGCTTGGATTAATTATGTTATTGGTCCTTGCAAACATAGCACACTTAATTTAGATCCTTGTAAAATAGTACGTAGTATGTTGTTTTTCATCCCTATGATAATATCTTGTGTTTTTCACTTTTTCTTTTAGTTCATTTCTAACAACGAGACCACTCCATCTAGAAAAAAAATACCGTCGCTTGCATAAATATTCTACGGAGTAGAAAGTAGAATCATTTAAATTTATTTCTTTATATTTGAGCATTATATTTAAATACCTATATAAATATGAAATATTGCATAGTTTGAGATGTTATTGTTATTTGATATGGTATCAGCTAGACCTGTCCCCGGTTCAGAACCGAACCGGAACCGGAACCGAACCGGCGGTTCACGGTTCACCAAATGCTCAAACATGAATTGGAACCTTGAAGGGCCGGTTCAAGGTGGTTCCGATTCCGGTTCTCAAAAATCCCAAAAACCGAACCGCCTCCCTTAACCGCAGGTTCGGAACCTTAGCTTGACCGCAGATTGGTTCCGGTTCCGGTGCCGGTTCGGAACATCCAGTTCCGGTTAAACCGGAAACCGGGGATAGGTCTAGCTAGGTTTCAACCCTTATTTTTTCCCACAATGACGGTAGGTAACATAATGAGTATGGTAATTACAATAGAAATAATTACATAAATATGACCAAAATAAAGATGATTTACAAAAATATGACTAATGACTAGAGTAGTAATGAAATCATAGTAATTCATGTTTAAATTTTGAGCTTAAGTTACCACAACACCACATTGTAGTAATGAATAGTCATATTTATGTAAATATGTTTTATTTTAGTAATATTCTCGTAAAAAACTCATTACAATAATGTCCTTATTTATATTCTATTAATTGTTTAAAATTAAATATAGGAAAAGCATAAAACAGAAACATGAAACTTTTGAAATTTCTACAATATCATTTTAATCGTTTTTGCAAATGAAATTGTTTATTACATATTAAAAAACTAGTAAATTGATGATATTTTAAAGTAAATTAACTTTGGACTTGTTTGGGAAGCTGGATTAGTAACAGTGTTCATTAATGGAGTGGCAACGGAGGTTCCAAGAGGGCCAATAAACATGAGAGCTATGTTCGGGGAAGATGAGTTTGTGCTTTATCACTCCTCTGGAATTCCTTTACCGATCAACGAATTTGGGATTTTGCTTCAGAGCTTAAGGCATGGCGAAACCTACTTCCTGGTAATCTTTTCTCTCCTCTACCCTTAATTGGATATGGATGTTTTTACTTGGACCGTAATTCGTCCCAGACCAGACCAGACCAGACCAGATCAGACCAGATCATAGCATATCAGACCAGACCAGACCAGACCAGACTTGGATAGTTATAAAAATACAAAGAAACCAGACCAGACTAGACCAGCTCAGACCAGACCAGATCAGATGAAACCAGACCAGACCAGATCAGCAAATTACAGTCCAAGTAAAAACATCCAAACTCCCTCCGTCCCATTTTACTTAGCCAAACTTGACTTTTCAAGTCAATGACGTCTAACTTTGACCGATTATATGTTTATATAGAGGAAATATTAATAATATGAAAATGATATGAAAATGTTCTTTGTTAAAAATACTACCATAAAAGTATAAAATTATTAAATTTTGCATAAATCACTCTCTTCTAGCTTTTGATAAATGACTTATCTAGGTTGTTTTCACTTAGATAGTAATTTTTTTAGATAGATTCTATGGTACCCTTAAGGTGCCATAACTTTGTCCACATGGACCAATCAGAATGATTTAGTTGAATTATTTAAATCTAAATTAAAAATCATGTAATGATTTGAACCAATCAAGTGAGTGATATGTACAGTACCCCATTTTTTAAATGAGTACCGGAGTTGTCACCATTTTTTTATATTAATACTCTATTCTAGTCCGATCTAATACGATATTGTGGGTATTTTGTTATCATTTACATATGTATGTTCTGGTCAGATTTGATTTGAATTGCTTAAATCTTATCCATTCTAATATGAATCCGGCGGGAAACACTCAAAGTGAAAACATCTTTTAAAGGTCTCTCAAAGCTCTTGTACGTTTGATATATCACTTGAGCTGTTTTTTTATATAAAAAGAAAGTTGAGATTTTCTTAGAAGCAACTCCCTCCAACCAAATTAAGGTTTTCACTTTCCTTTTTGGGACACTCCAACTAAATGTTCCATTTTTATTTTAGAAAATAATTGACACTCTTAAATGATAATTTAATCATCAAATATGAAAACTAATACATCTATAACATCACAATTACCACTAATGATCTCATTCTATTGTATCATTTCATTTTCATCATTTTCATTTACCCCAGTGCCGCAAAGGCTCCCACCTACGGTGGGGTAAGGGGGGGTCGGATGTACGCAGTCTTACCCTTGTACTAAAGCACAAATAGACTGTTTCCGGATGACCCATAGTGAAAATCACGTCCAAAATTGCATGGACTGACGGCTGCTTCATAACAAAGAAGCGTAGACAGCTTAGTGAGTCATTTTGCTTTATTCCATCATAATCTCATTCTATTGTATACTCATAAAAAATATTTTTCAAAATATACTCAAAATAGTTTTTTTAATTATTGTCTAAGTAATTATTTTACCATTTTGTCATGGAACCTTAGACCGGGTCAAAGGTACGTAGTACTATACTACTCCTATATACTTCGTATGAGTCATTCATACTACTCCCTCCGTCCCTCAATAAACTTCTCACTTTCCTTTTTTGGATGTCTTAAAACAAGTTCTCATTTCCTTAAATGACAAATTAATCTACATCAAAACAGTGTCAAGCAGTGTAAAACAGTGTCAAAACAGTAAAATTTACCCCATGATAAGTTTATTTCCTTAATATGTGTAGATCAAACTGTGAAGTTCATTGTGGGACGGAGGGAGTATTAGCATTGACTAGTCAAAGCAATATGTTCATCAGCCAAAGAAATACTCCCTCCGTTCAGGCGAGTTCTTCCTAAATTGACTTGGGTCGCAAATTTAGATAGTGAGAATAAAGTGTAAATGTATGGTTGTAGTTGTGTAAGAAAAATGTGAATGAATGTGAACCACACATTTTTTCCAAAAGTGGAAGTTGGAAGAATTAATTGGGACAATCCAAAAAGGAAAGTTGGAAGAAATGACCGAGAAGGAGGGAGTATACATCAAACAATCAACTTTTACTAAACAATTACTCTAAAAAATTTATCAAACAATTACATTTTTCCTTTTAAAAACTCTTGAGTACTAGGCTAACATTTATTCAAAAACTCAAAAATATATACTCTGTATATAAATTTCAGCTAGTTAATTATGTCAAACATTGAAACATACTACGTATATTGTACTCCCTCCGTCCCGAGAAGGTTGACCAAAGTTGACTTTCACGTGGTGTTGGTCCCAAATAGGACGCTCGTAGGCTTTTAGGAAAGCTACGTAAGAACACTCAAGCAGGAATTAGGAAAGTACGAATATGGAAAGTTGTAAAGGGATTAAGTTGCCAGAAATAGCATATCTATTATTTGGCTCGAACTTGCCTTTTATAGGCGATTACAAATGGTAACTCCCAAAGATACTAATGGCTAACTAATTACAACATTAATACGGAATTAAATAAGTAATTAAGTCACGCCTTAATTACTTTGGCCGTTATAGTTCCTGGTTGGTCGGCAGGCTCCTGGCTAGGCTGGAAGGCAGGCTCCCCACTGAGCTGGTCGACAGGCTCTCTTGGGCTTCCGCTCCTTGATTGCCCTGATTGGTTGGGCCGACTCGAGCTCTGGGTTGCTGGGCTTGGGCCTGCTGGTCCAAGTTCGGGGCCTGGGCCGATTAGGCTCTGGGCCTAGTCCCATAACCCCATCACGTGAATTAATAAAGTAAAAACCGTGTGGTTGAAATTTGTGCAGAGGAGAGACAATTAATTTTAGCCACACATTCCTTATTTTAAATGGAAATGACAAATTTTTTTTAGACAATCCAAAAAAGGAAATTTGGCCAATCTTTTCGGGAGGAGTAGCTGTTTGATGTAGTCATCGTGTTTGATACAATAAGCATTTGTGATAATTAATGCTAAAATGATATATTTCCTTGGAGAAGCTACACAAAAAGTTTCTAAAATAGGATCATAAATTTAATTAAAAAATATTCTCAAAAGTGTTATACCAAACATATACAACTAAATTTCTAAAAAACTTTTTATATAATACAAGTCAGAACTCAGAAATCAGTAACTTGCACATACCTACACATATCGATCAAATATGCAAACAGGGGCTGACCTAGGAAAGTCATCTTGGGGGGGTGAAAATATTTTTGGGGGGTTCAAAATACTTTTGGGAGAGCAAAAATTATTTTTCGTATATATATACACTAAAAAAAAATTGTTGAGGGGGCGGTTTTCTGGCAAAAAAGTACATTCCGGTGGATAAATTTAGTACATGTGGCCAATGTGGGATTAAATGTACAAGTGTATAAAGTTACAGGATTAGAAATTACCACGTACATGAAATGCAAGATTAAATGTATAACTTTTTCTGCTTCTAATAAGTGGATCATGCAAATTCAGGGGCGGGGTCAGGGCACTGGGTCAGATTGGGCCGGTACAAAGAATATTATTGAAAAAAAAAATACACAAAATTTTTTAAACTAAAAATATTGGCATTTTTTAAATTTGGGATGGGCCAGGGTCTCGCTTGGGCACCCCTAGCTCCGCCTCGGTGCATACATACACTCAATTAAAAATAATTAAATAAACCAAAATTACCAAATGACTTTAAGTTGACATGATCTAGCATATTTGTGACATCATAACTGAGATTTTTTATCCTTTTTCATTTTCTCTTATTTTGTTTGTTTCTCCTTTTGTTCTTCGATTCTCCCTTTTTCTATTGTTTTTTCACCATGCAACACCTAGTTAGCTTATTCTATTCCAATTCCACCATTCATTTTCTTATTTACTTTCATTTTAATTATATTTTCCTTTCTTCTTCCATTAATATTTCGTTAGAATTACAGCTGAAAATAAGAAGCAACCAATCAAGTTCCCTTTTTTTCCTTCTCTTGACCTATGTTCATGACTTTCGAATTCCCTTGGTTATAAGAATAATCTTTGGAAAGAGATATTCTAAAGGGTAGTAATAAGGAAGACACTATCTCCATATGCATACGTCGACAAGGGTAGTCACATGCCCATATTTAACCCCCTGTCATTATCAAGGTGACATCTGATATATAACTATTGTCCCTCAATGATATTCCAAAATAGGGAGATTTGTAATTTTAGTCACGTGACTTTCCGTGTTGCTCCTTATTAATTAGTCCTACAAATTTATTCAGTTGCAAATTTGATCACATAACTAATAACTTTTGCGATCTAAGAGTTTTTCACCGGTAAGTACACTTTTTGATAAAAAATATAGCAGAAAAGACGACGTCGTATCTAAAATTCTACAATTGGAAAGTACACTTTTTCGGTGGAAAAGTCTTTATATCACAAAAGTTTATTAGTTAGATCAAAGGATTCAAAGCTGCATGTGAAGAAAGCTACATAACTAATAACGGGCACAAGTGAAAGTTATGGGATTGAAATTGCAAATCCCTTCTAAAAGATTCTAAAATATGATCAAAAGTTTAAATGAAAACATGATAGAACTATTCAAACACATATATGGAATATACTTTATAGGTAGTAGTAGTTTCCATATTTTATTGTCTTAAGTGTTGAGTAATTTTCTTTTATTATTAGAGGGGTTTGGGGTGATTTTTCTGCTTTTATTATGTTGTTTAGTATCTACTTTACACACATTGAGTACTCATCATGATCTATTACTCTATTTCAAAAGATATAGAGGCTACAAATGTGTTGCTTTAAATATGAGTAGAGTATATTGAACTTAAAGTCTAACGGTTCTATCTTGGAAAATGGAAATTATACGGAGTATTAATTATATCCCTTCTTGCATAAACCTAGTGCATGTCACAACAATATTGTCTTAATTGCCTATTTCAAACATGTTTAGTGCTATTATTCGATCACCTTACGTTGTAGGGTAATATTGTTGAAACAGGTTTCAAGAACATCCTAGAATGATATGCACCCGTTGAAGACTGATTTTGGTATTCAATATATTAGAAATATATTTGTAATGATATTTTGGTATTTACTCAACACTATAATTACATTATACGAATTTGATCGTATTATATATCACATTTGCTTTTCTTCAAAAGTTCGTTCTTTTTTTGCTTAGCTGCTGAACTACTATATATGCATTTTGATCTTTCATATCAAAATGATGATGCATGACAAATATAGTACGTTTTGCTTTGTGAGTGAGACAGTGTCACAACCCACGACAATGTTGCATTGTGAAAGACGTACTTCACTATACACTTATGGAATTAAAGCTTAGTACGTGCATCAAACGGGAAATCGGTCCAACTCATTTTATGCATGGTGAAATAATCACAATAATTATTAGACCTTAATGTGACAATATTCTTCAGGATGACAATACTTGCTATTATTAGGCAGAAAGATAATATTTTGGAAATCACCTTATTTTTACCCCTACTTTGGGTAATTTTTTCACTTTTTATGCCAACTAGGTACAATACCCGTGCATACGCACGGGAAATAATCGATTGATATACTTGTAGTCATGATCTAATTAATTGCAAAAGCAAATTAATTTTAAAAAATTGGCATAGTTCTTAAAAGTGAGTACAATAAGTCAATATATATCATAAAGTTTAATTAAGTTAATAAAATAAATATTAAAAGTAAAATAGTAAACTTACATGTTAGAGATTTTGGAAATCCTCTTTGAATACAACATTCGTAGTAGTGTCTAATGATTTTTCATCCTTATCATGTATTAAAATCTTCAATCCATGCTTGCTCTGAACTCTGGATAATGTCACATACAATTGTCCATGACTAAAAATAGGTCTATGAAGGTATAATCCAACTCTTTCCCGTGACTGTCCTTGAGATTTATTGATTGTCATTGCATATGAGACCATTATAGGAAATTGTCTTCTAATACTTTTAAAAGGCCATGGTGATTGAGAAGGAGACATACACATTCGAGGTATGTAAATCTCATCTCCACCATAGCTTTTAGACATGATTCTTGCTCCAATGACATGATTGTCAAGTCTTGTGACAACAATCTAGTTCCATTACATAGTCCTTCTGACTGGTCTATATTTCTTAACAACATTACTGGAGTCCAAACCTTAACTCGTATCTTATGATTTGGGAGACCTGATGTTCTCAAGGAATTTAGAAACTCTGGTGTCAACGCTTCAAATGCTTCTGCTTCGACTACATCTGATTTGTCTACAGAATCGCAACTTAAATATTCTCTTTCTTCACCTGTAGTTATAAAATTTCAATAGACGTAATTTAAATATTAAATTTGTTTAAGATTTTATTTTGTCAGTAAATAAGCAAAGTAGTATTTTATAACATTACCTGGGAGCAAGGAAAAAACATAGTCGTTAATTTTATCGACAATTTCAATAGTCGGTGCCAAGATAGCTCTACACTTGAAAAATTCCTCATTTTTGTATTGCTCCAGCAAGTTAGGATATGTGCTTCGAATTATTGCATCTATTGGATCATCAAATTCTTTAATCAAGAATTCATCTGGAATTTTTATTTCTGCATAACCATCGTTTAGCTCTGATATTTTTCCATCCTCCACATCCAATATATCCATTTTGAAAATTCTTTGAGCTCAGTACCACTTGTCATATCCAAACTATTTTGGAGTCGCATATTTTTAGTAAGAGACAATACCTATGAATAAACAAAAAAATACTTATATTTGATTATCATAACTTATAAAGTAATTATTCCAAAAAAAACTTCTAAAGTGATAATTAGTGTTAAAATTGAATTTTCTAAACTATCGAAAAATTAAACATATTGCTTATGATACTAAAAAAGTGAGTTTAATACCTGATAGTCTTCCCATAGATACGAAGAATTGATTGTAGCATTAACAATGTCTGAACGGCTTCCTCCAGGAATAACGGGTAAAGTTTGTCTAAAGTCTCCTCCAAAGGCAATCACTCTTCCTCTGAATGGTGAAATAGAATCACCATCATTATTAATGATGTCATTTAGGCTTCTATCTAATGCTTCAAAACAAAATTTATGAGTCATTGTTGATTCATCCCATATTATCAATTTACTCCTTTTCAATAGCTCTGCAAGTTCACTCCCTTGATGTATATTACATGAAGAGTTCTCCAAAGTAGGAATTGAGATTGAAAACTTAGAGCATCTCCAATGTCATAATGTGCACGGTGCACATGTGGCATGAGAGATAGCCAGATAAATATTAGAAAATAAATTATATCCCTCCGTATTAGAATGATTTTATACAATTTTGGTAAGTTTTTCTCCACACTGTCAAGAGAACCGTCTAGATGTTGACATTGTGGATGACATTGCACAAAAAAACTTACCAAAATTGTATAAAATCATTCAAATAAGGAGATACATAATATATTTGTTAATATTTATGTGCCTATCTCTCATGCCACATGTGCATCATGCATATTGTAACCTTGAAGATGCTCTTAGAGTGCACAGTTCTGCCTCCAAGTAATTAAGAGTAGAGAAGCTATACGACTGGATGCAACGGTTAAAACAATATGACGCTGAGAACGTAAGGCAGCACCTAGTGTCCTCCACATAAATGTTTTTCGGTACCACCATAACTATATAAAAAGTATACCCCACCTTTTTGGTTAGTCACAACTTCCATTATTGTGTCAAATATGGCTTTCTGTTCATCTACAATATCAACATCAAAATATATGAATGAAATCATATTTCTCTTGACACTCAAAACCATGTAATATGACTTATAAATCATATGAATTGTAGTTGTGTTACCGGTAAGAGAAGCATACAAACTTTGAAACTCCTCACGCAACTTTGATGTATCATAATCACTTTCTGCATAAATAAGCCTATTCCCTAGTTGTTCCGTGATATATCCATTTGGATATGGTAATGAGGGATAGTCTTTTAGACTTTTTCTCTTTTTTTTGCATCAATTTCTCAATCTCCACAAGAGTTAAATTTTGCAACTCTTGATCACTAAGTTGGAAATCTACAAATGTAATAAACATAATTGTATCAGTAATTATAAGAAGATGTTCATGTATATGTGTCCACTGCCATTATGTCTTTATCGTATATAATCTAATTTGTCACAACAATGCAAATGAATGACCAATGAGATACGCATGAAATTAAAATTATGAAATAGTTTTATTTGAATATGTTAATTTATGAAATAAAAATATCAATATATTGATTTAAAAATATATTTTATTTTTATATGTTAATTGATAGGTGAACGAATTTTAATACTGAATGTGAGAAAAGTTGTTTGGGGTAATCAGGAAATACTGTTTGTTTATGGTAATTAAGATTTGGATATGAATTTTGACTTATAAAAAGGCTGAGAATAAATAAACATATATCTATACCTCAACTTTATTCACATTAATATGAATACGATAGTAAGAGCACCTTATAACAGACTCATGGTTGTATTTGCCACATTTGCATGTAAAGGCGTCATTGGGTGCTTCAGCCTTTCTAGTGCATGAAGAGCAACTTTGATAGCTCCACCCACTTTTTCCAACTACAAACCTTGCAATGGTGCCAATAGTGACACAAGTTGTTTCCTATAGAATATTTAATATGTCAGTGATGTACTTTAGTGTTTTATAAATTTTTAAAACATTAAAACTTTGAATTGAAATACCTCTTTAAGGCAATTTATATATGTAATACTCATAAGAACAGCTCTATATGTAAGCTTCTCTTGCTCAGAAAAACTGGAGCCTGAAGTTTTTCTTTGATTTTGACCTTTTGGCTCATTCACTTGATTTGAATTGAAGCTTTGATAATTTGAAAAAGGAGTTATATTTAAATAATAATAATTATTAATTGGAAAACAAAACACGTAATTACCAGAAGATTAATCATGAAGATATACCTATCTTTGAATTGTTGAATTTCTCCAATGTCTTCATTTATGAGCAGTTTGAAGTTGTACTTGATATTTTGAATGGTGATAGGATGCATGCCTATCAAATCAGTGAAGTATATTTTATTAGCATCTATATTATGCATTTGTACATAGACATGAAGAACACTTAAACAAGGAATTCTAACCTTCCGGTTCCTTGATTTTTGCATGTGTTAAGATGATAACAGTTAGCTCCGATGGATGCTTTTCACGAAACTTCAACAATTGGGTAGCATACTCGCCCCATAAAGTACATGTTATCATATCACCACTACAATAAAAACATGATGTACTATTTTCATTATGAATAATTTGGTCAAATTAAATTGTAGGAATATTAATTAAAATAATAGGAGCAATTGAAGTCAATGCTATTACCTGAGATCTTTCATTAAAAATGATACTTTTTTCAATGTAGCATTAGCCTGGGCATTAAGAATAACATGCAGAGATCCAATGACATTTATTTTCATCAATTCAAAAACTAACAAGTAACATATTAATTAAAATTTTGTTGTATGCCAAAATTTATGTGTGGTGCTTATTTGATACTCACCAACTAAAACATGAGTGTTCAATTTGCCACTTGGTATATAAGAAAGGCTTCTAAACTGGTAGTGATCTGTGGGAATCTCGAAGAGATTTTGTAGTTTTAACGTTGTACCACTTGTGAATTGAAGCTTGAATGGATGCTCACAAGTCTTGTATTCCCCTTCGTTGCGTAGGACACAAAAATTCTGCATCACATACGTTTGTCCTTCTTTAAGTTTTGGCTTCCAAAGAACCATCTCGGCATTCCACGCAACTGCTTGTATCTTATGTTCCTAATGTATGGAAATAATTTTAAATTAGCTTTTAATCATAATGGTATACATGCATGATGAATTACAGAATTACTGAGATAGCTATTGTCACACCTTAGCATCCATCAAAACCATTTCCATGAACTTTAAAGGGGAATTAACAGAATAAGGTGATATCACTCTAACCGCAGTCTTTCGTGTCTCCTTTGAGTCATTGATCTCTTCAATTGTGTTTATCTTGCGTGCCATATTCAAGGGTCTAAGAACTCACGAAAAGCTAATAAAAAGAAAACACATTTAGTAC